GGAATTTGAGAGCTTAAAGCAATCATTCTCTAACAGCAAAAGGGAAAGAATCACCTGATCGAGCCTGATTGGTCAGAAAGGACAAGAACTACTCGTGGAAAGGCTGCGCAGAGTTCGTACTTATCACATCGGCATTCCGACCTCGAATGCACTTATCATCAGGTTCCTACCTCCGATTCACCGACCTCGTCGTCCAGTTATTCAGTCAGTTTAGATCTCTAACCCGATCTCGTTTTCAATTACAGGTTCCGACCTTGAAAGCGACGGTCTCATAAACTCACTCAGATACTCAGATAACCGAACACAAGGTTCGTCAGCCGACCTAAGCTTCCGAGCTCAATACACAATCTTTTTCTAGCATGTACAGTTCTCTATGTAGTAGCCCGTTTCCGAGTTAATATCAATAAACGAGAATTTTCGATCTTTTACCGTATATAAATTTATTGTCGAACTCATGGATCAACAATGTGCATTCTCGAAGGACCAACATGAAAGAAAGTCTTTTTTATGGCTTCCCATTGATATCTACACGAGGAAGATCCAATTTACTTTCGTATATACATATAAAAACATAAATCAAAATGAAAGTCACATGCTCAAGGAAAATGGCAAATATTTAAAACAAGAAAAACGAAGAAAACTACCTTGCTAGATCTGGCATGGTTTATGGAGAGTAGGCAGCGGCTGGTCAGAGAAAAACTCACCGGAGTAGAGAGTCTTGACGGTGGTTGGTCGGAAAAAGCCATTCAGCGTAGATGGGCGAGATCTGTGGAGCCCAAGGCTTGTACAAACTGCTAAATAAATAGAGAGATTAGAGACAAAAGAGATAGACTACGAGAAGGAGAGAAAGAGATGCTGGTGGCTAACCTTGGTAGAGGCGAGATCGACGGAGATGGAAACTAACTATTTTTGAACAGTGGTCGTGTGCAGATATGAATAAGAGAGAAAGAGATGATACGCTAAGAGGCATGGCGAGCGGTGAAGGGAAGGCCAGATCTGAGGATATCTCGTGGTGCGGTGAAGCCATAAGAAGAAAGCGCAGAGATTCGCCAAGATCCCCCGCAAAATGCCCACCCAAACTCCATCGACAGCCTCCGAGAACCACTGGATCTGCTGGAAAGAGGAAGAACGGCGGCAAGTCGACGGACGAGATCCGTGGAGGCAACGGCTGCTTCAAATAGAAAAAAAAGCGAGAGAGGTGAAGCGCCGTTTGAGTTTGAGAGAAGTTGATAAATTTAGGGTTACGTATCAATAAATTCATTTATATAGAGAAGTAAGAACATTCGGTTAAGTTTTGGTTTAGTAGAATTTATTTCCCGGTTAGGTTAAAATTTTCGGTTTAGTAGACTTCGTTTGAAGTCTACAAACGAAGTCTACAAACAAAATCTACGAAACCCTAAACTCTAAACCCTAAATGTAGACTTCTCTAGAAATCTACCAAAAACCTAGAGCAACTATTTTCGTATGGATTATCTAAAACCCTAAATAAAAACTTATATCAAACATTCAAAAAMTTTAATATATTCACAAATTAACATTTTTATTCAAATTTGACATTTTAAATATAAAAATTATAAACCTTAAATCTAACCCTAAATGTAAAATCATGTTTCCAACTTATGAWATCAAACTATTGCRCATATTTGTAACTCCAAATATAACATACATACCTTCAAATTTAACATCCATAAAACCCTAAACCACACACCTCCAAATTTACCATCCA